TTGGATTCCTTTTTTTTTTTTTTTTTTTTTTTTTTTTTCTCTTCATTTCGATTTCGTATAATGAAGTTAAATGGATAAGTAAGCAGCTACGCAGAAATGTTTCCACTTGATCTTTTGACTCTAATCGCTTGTCCTAGATGCTTCTTTGAGGTGTCCAAATATGTGAAAATCGCATGGCGGTAAGATGAATGATAAAGCATTTTGCGATGAAATTCCATCAGTTTCCGCTGCGTTAGACCTTCTATGTGGAGGCCTGACGTTGTCGTGGAGAATCAACACTTCTTGAATGGGACAATCTTGTCCTTTGCGTCGATACTGAAGCCTAACTTGATCCAAGAAACCGCTTTAGTAAGTTGCGTTGATGATCTGGCGTTTTTCCGTGAAAGAAATCCACCATTAAGACCTTCCTCGAATCCCCAAAAACCGTGGACAATAATTTCCCCGCTGAGAATCGAGTTTTGGCTTTCACGGGATTTCTTTCACCTTTCCTTCTTCAATCCATACTTGCGTGTTTTGATTGAGGGGTGTAATGATGCACACATGTCTCGTCACAGATGACAGTTTTATGCAAAAAAGCTTACCCTTCATCTTAAAAACGAGTTTAAAACAACTGAGAAATGCGAACTCATGCAGCCTTTTGATCATCATTTGGTAACTTTGGAAAATAACGAACTGAGGTTTTCTGAAGCCCAACTGCTTCCTGATTACGGATTAGACACTGTCATAGCTGATACCAAGTTCTTCCGAAGTTTGAAGCACTGTGCAGCGTAGATCCAGTTCGATAAGCTCACAAACACGTGCAATGTTTTCATTAGTCGCACTGGTACTCGGACGACGGGGATGACCTTGATTTGCGACATGTTCACGGCCTTGCTTGAATTCGTTGCACCAAACTTTCACTATTGACCATGAAAGGGTAGCTTCCCGGCTGGTTTCAAGTTTTCATGACCGGGGAAATTTTATAGTTGTTTATTAGGGACGGGCACACTCCTCTCACTGATCGTAAAGACTATTAAATAAGGCACGGGATAAGCTGGCTGGTGCGGTTCCCATAATCTAGGCAACCCCACACAACGACTTCATGCCCAAACACATACAAATACCCATTCTGGCGCTCAGTCAATAGAGGCTCGTTCTTATTTGATCGAAAAAAAGGGGGGACAGTTCTATATCTCTCGTTCTACTGGACCAATTGACGAAATTAAAATTGCGTTTTTCATGTCTCGAAAGCGTGGCTTAAGATATATATTAGATTTATACATAGTATCATTCTAACATAGGTATTTTGACACAAAATCAGACTTTTTCTGAAATGGCATGCCAATTGTTTTCCATATTTCGATTCTACGGCTCAAATATGTCAATAATAAATTTTGTAAATTTGACGCGAAATTTACGAGAAATTCAAAATTTATTTTAGCGATTTTTTCAGTTTCGCCAAGAGTAATTTATTGGCGAACTTTAATTATTATAGCAACCTATTTTCCTTTTCTTTTTTTCATTGCACACGAATGGGGCACCACGCCTAGCTTGATTTTTCACCCCATTTTGATTGCATGATGAACTCAGTTTGTACATTTTCGCCTTCGAGTGGGTGCTATGCACCATAATTTTTTTTAAATCTACCGTGAACGGCCTTCTGGCATATATGAATGAAATGGTTAGAACTCTAAGTAGTTGACACCAGAAATGATATTGATCAGTATCTATATCAGTACGAGCGGGTAAAAAGTCATCGTTCACACTTTCAAATTATTATTTTAAATTAAATTTCAAAAGTACGTAAACCACATTTGTTATCGTTCAAAAACAAGATGCCAAATTGCAAAACGCTCTGATATGTAAATTCAAGTATACCTTAGGAAATTTTGAATAAAAAAAAACTCATAAAAGCATAATTTTTTTTTTTCGGGTGGGCCTTGAAATACATGTATTTTAAGACGATGTAAAAAATACAAAAAAATATTTTCGAAAAACTTATAAAAATACAAAATAGAAATTTTAAAAATAAATCATAAAAAGTGTGCGAATTATGTTTAGATTAAGACTAAATTTCGAATTCTGGAAGAAGAAATCAAGTAAGTTTAATAAAAAACATAGATTAATAAATATATAACAAATTCAATTAACACTGAGGAGCTAAAATTTTGTGAGCTAATTTTTTAACTCGTGCAAGTTTTACAAAACTTGGCAGTTTGGAATAACTTGAGTTGTAAAATCGAAATAGGGAAAAGAGTGGAATGTCATTTCAGAAAAGTCCGATTTTGTGTCAAAATGCCTATGTTGGAATGATTGCTATATATAATCATTATATCTTAAGTTGCGCTTTCGAGACATGAAAAATGCAAGTTGAATTACGTCAATCGGCCCAGTAGAACGGGGTATACAGAACTGTCCCATTTTTCTTCTCAGTGTACAAGCATGTACATGAAGTATAATGGCCGCTTTATTAGGGACACTCTCACTTGAGCTGCAGAGAATCCTTTTATCTTGCAATATGTAGTACTGTTTTGTTATCGCGACCGGCTTCAGATATCGCCAAAAGCTGACTATCTGGTGAATAATTCTAAGCATTTAAAGAAACGCCAAAATATTTACGATACGATTAAACTGAAGAAAATTCTAAGGGGAAAAATTAACAGATATTTGTAAAATTAAAAATTTGTATTGCGAATTAAAACAACTTACCAAAGTATTCAAGCGAAAAAATTGGTTAGCGAATTAAGTTTAACGCGAAGGCATGAAACTACAGATATAATTTAAAATGTCTAAGAATATTTCAGTATGAGGACGTTTTTGACGCCACGCAGAACTCAATAAGTATGTAATTGGTTATGGTCAGTGTCGCATTAAAGTTTATTTCGCCATTTCGCATTGCCCCATAATCTTTTAATAGTTTGCGTATAACAACTAGTATGCAGATCGAAGCAACATAACAAGCAGTTAAGCACAGCAACTAAAAAAATCTTTTATTTCTCGGCAAATCGCGTTGCTTATCTGTTGAGTTTGATGGATACGACCAATATTGCTTTTTCGACGAAAAGGCAGGCTTTCATCACTTTCGGCAATATTACCAGTGCCACCTATTTAAGTGCAGGAAATATACACATTATGCATATTTTTTATTATTTAGTTTCTTCAAATATAATGCAGGACTCTAACATTTTGGTGGCAATAGTTTGAAAAGTGAAACGGACATTTATAGTGATTCAACGCAAAACGAAAACAATAGTCCTTCAGAGACAAAGCCCCTTTGGATTAAAAACATATAACGTCATTCTATGAAAATGTTAAATATTTTTAATTTGATAGGTAATGAATTAAAGCCATTTTTTTATTTAAATCAATTCAATTTAAAAGTAGGAAACTAATATTCTCAAAAACTGTATCTATTGCTTTCAAATAACTTAGTTTCTTAATCACAAATACAGATGTAGTTTGGTAAAGCAGTAAGGTAAAGATGCAGTAAGGTAATTTGCAGTTTGGATGCAGTAAGGTAAATAAATATCTTACTTTTTGCCGAATGGCAAGAGGTTTAAGTAAAGAATGTAAGGACGTATTTATAGTGATTCGAAGCAGAATTCAATTTCGAGACTAATAGATACTTTTGGATGAAAGTTACAGTCAAAATAAAACGTGAACCTAACTCGTATTTGTGTTTCTATTCCATGTTTTGAGAGAATGTTTAACGTTTTGTTTCCGAAATAATATTATCCGGATAAAAGTAAGAAATCCTCTCTTAAATGTCAACATTTTAAGACACTCTTTGATCAAAATATTAATAAACAATACGCAAAAGAACATCAAGAGTTTATTTTAATTTATTTCTTAACAACACATAACATGCACAAAACATCATTCCTTATCAGTGACAGCTCATTAACAGCAGTTTTGATTTCTTCTTTAAATCGAAGATGAGTCGAATGACCCATAAATATAAGAAAAAGTTCAATTAGTTTAGAAAGTTCACATCCAAAGCACCAAATCGGTCTTTAAAGATGACTGTTACCTGAAACGAGAATGCACAGAATGAGAATTAAAGTAAATAGTAAATATTAAAAAGAAACAAAGTTTATAATTTTAGCGTAAAGAAAAGTTTAAGCTTGAAATGTTGTAAATTTTTGACAAATATTTTGAAATAAAATATTTATTTTATGTTCGATACCTTTACGATCATTTTCACTTTCCGTTTTCCTACCAGAATGCACATTTTAGCTCTCACTTATTTTGGTAGCGTAACGTACTCTAACTCCGATGTAGAGCAAAGCGACTTATCGCTATGTCTGGACAAGCAAACAGAACATACTTGTGGGTGGGAGAGATCCTTTTATCAGGAACTCAAATAAGTTTAACAGAAGGCAGTCCCAGTCCTTACAAACTCAGGCAGCATTTATGGCTAGAAATCAAAAATAAGAACTCAGATTTAAACTAAATTTAAGCAGAAATCAGCTAAAGGCTACGCAGAAATATTTAACGCGCAAAATGGCTCTAACCTACACCGGCGTGACGGCACAATCCGCAAGAATAAAGCAACGCCGTAGATAGAAATGCTATCGGAGAGTAAATCTAGTGACGTGGAGTTCAGCAGGCGGAACACGCTCTGATTAAAACAATCTCAAGACCTCACTTAAATACACGCGAATTAAAATTTACATTCTGGCAGGAAAACCGAAAGGGAGAAGGGACCGTAAAAGTTCTTAAAATAAAATAACTAGTTGATTAACACAAATACCTCACAACTTAGCCACGCGAAGTTTTGCAGCCCAATATTTAAATTTCCGTCGCACATATGAATAGAAAGGATTAACATTTGCCAAATGGAAGATTATGTTACATAATTGTATTCATCTGAAAAATACGCGTTTAACAATTTCGACTTCGAAAATGCAAATTCAGTTCTTTAACATTACTGGATAAAAACTGCTGTACCTTTCTTTTTCACTCCGTTCAACTGTTTTGTTTCAGCAAACACAAGTTCCGAAATCTTTGTTCATTTTTCAGTCATTTTCCTTTGTTCTTACACTGAAATATTAATTACTTACATTTGTAATTGAAGTCTGAGATGCATAGAAACGAATTAATTCTTTCCGTTCTATAACATATAATAGCTGGATGCGATGCGATTTTTAACCCTTCATCGCCACGCGAGGTTGTAAGAAAATCTCCTTTAAACCTTTGAGGCACAGTGTGTCCGGTCTGGACACACCTAAGAATTTCCTTCTGTACGCACAGAAAAATTGAATGAAAAAAGATTTATAGGTTACTATAGATTACTCTGAACCTTCTTTATTTATAGTAGAAGGCAGCTCAACACAAACGAGTCCATATATTTTAGCCATGTTTAGTTTTTTAAGACCATCATTTTTCAAAGAAATCTTACAGATTTTTTTAGGGTATAAAAGGAATTGTTCGAAAAGAAATTTCTATGTTATTGTTTTGGCTGTATGCTAATCTCCTTATTCTATAATAATTTTAAATTTTTACCTTGAAATCTTGCCTAAAATCAAGCGGCGAACCCTAGGTGTGCCCAGACCGGGCTCACTGATAATCTAGGACAACTGAGAGTCTGTATTCTTTGTTTCTCCGCACCTCATCGGTCATTGACAAAAATGCTCGCTTCAGCACTTTTTTCGAAGCTCTATTCAATCAGTGTGCCCATTTTGGGCACACCCACAGAATTAAAACGATAAGTTTTACATGCGTACTCCTCTAGGCCTAATTAGACTGCCTACCTTTTTATTTAAAATCAAAACTCCGACTTTAAAAGGTAGCGTGCCGGAAAGGGTTAATCCACGAGCTCTGTTTCATGCGTCAATTGTTTCTGTTCGTAAGAGTTTAGAACATCTAATAACGAAACATTTTGGGACACGTATTCAGTTTAAAATCTTTTCTCAGGAAGACCTTAGATTCAGAATCGAAAAAAGGGTGTGAGATTCGAAAATTACTTCTTCTTTCCAAAATATTTTTTCTGTAGTGACAAATTGCTGAATTTTTTTTTGTGTTAAAATTCTTGCTCTAATTTTTTGCAATGTCCAAAAGAAAAATGAAGGAGTAATTTTAAGTGAATCATACAGCAGTGAAGAAAGGAGAGTGCGAGGCTTATAAAAATTCGAATAGTAGCGATGAGGAATAGTAGAGATTTCTCAGAAAGATATCTATAAACAAAATTACATCTTCAGATTCTGATCCTGATGCATAACTGATGAATGCAGTGAAAATAAATGCATGTCACGTTATACACACGATTGAAAACTTTTAAGAAACTTTAGTTAAAATATTTGAAGATCAATATTTTGTAAATAAATTTCCTATTTTTCTTCTTAAGGATCATTAACAAAGCGAGAAAATGTCTTTACCTGGAGTCGGACTTTCCAAAAATGTTCAACAGTTGCGCGGGCGTGGATTTCGCCTTCAAGGAATGGAACCGCTCGGAAAATTCTCTCAGATGATGAGGAAGGAACACAGCATGCTCCCGCTTTTTGATCATGAACTCATTCGGTAACAGCCATTTATTCTCTAGACACTCCTCGCAAGTAGGCCTTTTCCTGAAAGAGAAAAGGGAATAGAAGTAAGCAAATTCTCTCTTCTAGTTTGCAAAGAGATACATGAATGAGAGACAATGCACATTGGGAAAACAATACGTATAAAACACGTTAATACATAACAATTCAAAGCATTTCGCTATGATATTCCATACATTCTGACGGAAATGAAACAGAATCAACACTGGGCATTCTGCATTTGTTGACTCAATGAACCCGACTATTCACACCTCTTACCCATAGTCATGACAGAATGTGAGGATTTATTTCATATATTAAACATTTAAAACCTTACTGAAGAAACCTTAACAAATTCTTATTTCGAAAACCTTAATAAACTTCCAAACTGGATTAAGAAGCATCTTCGGCTGAATATCTGGAAATTCCTTCGTTAAGTCTCTTAAATGCAACATCTTCTAATCCAATTTATTTGTTCTTAAGTAGTAGAAAATGGTTTGAAATCTTTTATTATTAAAAGTTGAGTATTAATTAAAGATGGAAAAGAAAAAAATATCTAAATGGGTTCGAATTTTAACGCTCGCCCAATAGGGCTCTTTTAACCCTTTGCGGCACAGTGTGTCCAGTCTGGATACACCAAAAAATTTCCTTCTGTACGCACAGAAAAATTGAATGACAAAGGATTTATAGGTTACTCTGAACCTTCTTTATTTATAGTAGATGGCAGCTCAACACAAACCAGTCCATATATTTTGTTTAATTTTTTAAGACCCTCATTTTTCAAATAAATCCCCCAGATTGTTTTAGGGTATAAAAGGAATTGTTTGAAAAGGAATTTCTATGTTACGTTTTTGGCTGTATGCTAATCTCCTTATTCTATATTAGTTTTCAATTTTACCTTCAAATCTTGCCTAAAATCAAATGGCGAACACTAGGTGTGCCCAAACCGGGCTCACCGATAATCTAGGACAAATGAGTGAGAGTCTGTATTCGTTGTTTCTCCGCATCTCATATGATCAGTTCATTGACAACAGTGCTCGTTTCAGCATTCTTTTCGAAGCTCTATTCTATCAGTGTGCCACTTTGGTCACACACATAGAATTAAAACGATAAGTGCAAAATTTTACTTCACAAAATTTTACTTGTGTGCTCCTAAGACTAATTAGACGGCCTACCTTTTTTTTTTTTTTTTTTTTTATTTTATCAAAACTCCAACTTTAAAAGGCAGCGTGCCGGAAAGGGTTAAAGTTAAATAAATATGGTTTATCAGTAGAGATTATTGATAGAGATGGTTTAGGTATCGAAGAAAACCACGGTAGTGTTTTATAACATAGTTAGATGAATATGCATTTAGACTAACATGGGAACGTTATATTACCTTCTGAGCATTCGTAAAGTGCCAAAATATGTAACGTAACTCTATAAAATTATAGCGGCCCTGATATCCTTACCGAAGAGCCGGAGATCGAGTTCCGCAGAAGCCATGGATGCAATTTGCCCGTCATTTCATAGGAGGTTTATGGCAGCCTACCTATTAAGTGCCTCCCTTCCGGCCTTAGTAGTGGCCAACGCCAATAAACGGCTAGAGCTCGCCATTGGAACAAAATGCCATATATTATAAATATATCCATTAACTCCATTAATGGTGTTTTTTTTTCTGAACGTTACTCGTTCTAACAGACACTATACCAGCTCAACTACATTATTATTACGTAATAAATATGCCAGCAATAATAAACTCTAAGGTTGCTCCTCAAGTTGATGAGTCAAGCGTGGATGAAGTGAGTCTCCACACCGTATATTAAGTTGAATGAGCAGAACAAGAGACAACAATTCTGTTAAGTGAGATGGCCAGAAATATCCACCGATTTTGCCAAAAACCAGAAATTACATTGCAACCTCATTTAAATTTCATTTAAAAGCGTTTCTGATATCCTATCCGTTGGTGCAAACACCAAAGTTATGTGATATATATATATATATTTTTGTTTTTTGTTTTTTTTGTTTTCTAAACGAAGATATGAAAAACATGTTTCAGCATTAAATTAAAAGAAGATTTAAATGTAATTTTGAAAACATCTTTTCATTCTATAATACGGTCATCCACCAACAGTATGCGGCGAAAATTTGAAAGCGGTATCTTATCAAGAAGTAGTTTAAAAATCGATGGCAAACCTTTGATCATAGCAAACAATTACCACGTGTGAATAAATAAAAGCTTAAAATAAAAAGCGGAAAGGATCTTAAAAGTTGAATAAAATCTACAATAAAGCCGTTATATGCATGTTCAGTAAATAATTTTAATCTTTAAATTAAAAAACGATATATAACATTTTTATCAAGAATTTAATAGCTCATCCCCCCTCCTCAGTTTATTACTAAAATGAAGACTACATGAACTGAAAGGTTCTTACTGCGGTGTCCTCTTGAAAAGTTGCATCAGGAAATTTGTGGCTTCTTGCGTGACTTCCTTGTAGAGGTGATCAAAGTGGTAGCGGACGTAAAGGACATTGTCCTTTGTTTCTTTCTCAGATTCTCCAGCAAATGGCGAAACACCGCTCAATCTAGAATGCACAACGGTTCGAAATATTATTATTCAACATCGAAACTTACATATTATATTTGAATAACGCAATCTAAATTAGAACAAACAGGCTGCATAAGAAAGATGCAGTTAATAATATTTATCCAAAAATATTATTTCCTGTTATAGAACGTCTGTAATTTTCACCAAATGCCTAGCGAAAAGGAAATCAAATTTTGGAATCATGCATGTAATAAATGTACACTGCTTAAAACAATTGAAGGATATTGTGAGTTCGGTATGAAATATCTGTATAATCGACAACTAATTTAACAAAAATAAAATAGGAGATGCTAAAAAAGAAAACTGTAAAATTTACAAAGTTGGGAATATACCTGTTATTTTCTATGACATCGAAAATTATGCGTTTTAGATAAAGAGTGAACAGCGACCTGCAGCAGTCCTTCTTTAGGAGGAGCTTAAAAAGTACTGGCATGCGTTTAATATTTTGTAACAGTGCGTACAATGCCTGGCACGATGACTCAGCTGAATCGGAAACGCAGGAGAGCCATCGGTTGTTTAAAAGAGGGTCAAACGGAATCCACTGTAAGGGAAATGTTAGGAGTTTCTCAAAGTATAATTTCCAGACTATGCAATAGGTTTTTGGAAATTGGAAACGTTCGCCGAAGATCGCGACAAGGTCATATGCCTGCAGCAGCCCAAAACGAGAAGCGGTATTGACACCCAAAAGGCTACTTTCTTGCAACAACACCTTCAGAGTGCTACTGCTACTAAAGTTTCGACTCAAAATGTTCGTAACCGATTTTCACCATGCGGGTTTGTAACCTCCCAGACCCATTCCTTGTGTTCGTGACACTGCTGCCCGCAGAAGGTGGGCACAGGAGCATCTCGGATAGGGATGAGATGAGTGAAGCAATGTGCTCATCACGGACGAGTCCTGCTTCAGTGTAGAACTTGACAATAAACGAATTCTCATCTGGAGAGACCCTGGTATATCGAATGCTGCTGCATTTGTGCGTGAAAGTGTTCCATTTGGCCGATGCTGAATGATAGTCAGGCCGTTATTTCGATCAATGGCCGCATCGACCTGCACACTATCAGGAGTGAAGCATTAAAAGCTCAGGGATATAGCGATGAGATAATAAGACCTTTTATAGTTCTTTACGCTGCAGCACTAGAGGATGAGTTCATTCCCATGGATGATAACGCCAGGTCACATCGTGCTCCGATAGTAAACAATTTCCTTTTCGACGAAGGAATCCTTGGAATGGATTGGCTAGCATATTCCCTAGATATGGACTCAATAGAACATGTTTAGGGCATGTTTAGGGTTTGCTAGTCGCTTATCACCTCAAAAACAATTCAGCAGTTTGAGAGCTCTCTTCTACAGGAGTGAAAGATCGTACCAGAGTCCCTCATTGATTCCATGCCTTCATAGGCTTCATATCCGAAATCATAATATCCTCTAATTGCTTTCAGAAGTGTAATAAATAAAATAAAGTGTATATTTAGGGTATTTTTTAGCATTTTGTACTTTTGTATTTTTCCATTAACTAGAAAAATAAAATATCTAAACATAATACAAAATAATGCTCGAGAATTTCGGGTCGCCAGATTTTGAAGAATCGCAATGCAGTTTTTAATGCCCTAATATCGGTCTCGAAAATGTATTCATAGCGATTAATGTGTAACGATTTCGAATATAATAAAAGTTTGCGACTGCAATGATAATTACTAAACATACTAATAATTGATATATATGATAATAAGAATGAACCAATAATTAATATATAATTGATATATATGATAATAAGAATGAACCATAATAATATATATGATAATGATAATATATAATAAGATAACCAATAATTATAATAAATAGATAATGAACCAATAATTAATATATATGATAATTGATATATATGATAATAAGAATGAACCAAAATTAATATATATGATAATTGAATATATGATAATAAGGAATGAACCATAATTAATATATATGATAATTGATATATATGATAATAAGAATGAACATAATTAATATATATGATAATTGATATATATATAATAAGAATGAACCATAATTAATATATATGATATTGAATTGATATAATGAATGAACCAATAATTAATATGATAATTGATATATAGATAATAAGAATGAACCAATAATTAATATATATGATAATTGATATATATGATAATAGAATGAACCAATAATTAATATATATGATAATTGATATCTAGATGAATAAGAATGAACCAATAATTAATATATATGATAATTGATAATTGATAGAATAATAATAAAATGATATATATGATAATAAGAATGAAACAATAATTAATATATATGATAATTGATATATGATAATGAAGGAACCAATAATTAATATATATGATAATTGATATATATGATAATAAGAATGAACCAATAATTAATATATATGATAATTGATATATATGATAATAAGAATGAACCAATAATTACTCGAATGCTGAATTCGCAGCGATAGCAATTTTCAGTAAATTTCATTTTCTGTTTTTACATTTTTTTACACATTGCTTCAGAAAACATAACTTTTTCGGGGGATGGGAAAACATACCCTCTCCCCTGAAAAGTATTTTGAATTTAATCTTCAATTTCAGTATTATTAGCTAATTCACATTTAACTTGTGTTGATTTGAAGTTTCCTTCGTAGGTCCTAATACATAACACGTTTTCTTTTTAGTGTTATATATTATTAAGTTTAAATTGAAAATGCATTTTTAAAATTACAGTCTCAGCTAACTGCGAATTGAAAAAACAAATGAAAAGATGCAAATCCATGTACACTGCGAAAAAATAAAATGAAACAGTTCTATATCTCCCGTTCTACTACCCGATTGACGATTGAATTTAATATATATTTTATTAATATCTCTTTTTATATTTACTTGATTCCTTCTTCCAGAATTCGAAATCGAGATTCATTCGAAATAAAATTCACCCATTTTTTATGATTTATTTTTAAAATTTGTATTTTTAAATAAGTTTTATAAAGTTTTCTAAAAAAATTTGGATAATATCCTATAAAATTTTTACCATCACCTTAGATGTAGACGCATTTTTAAGTACACCTGCAAAAAGTTTGAGTTTTTTATTAAAAATTTCCTAGGACATACGTGAATTTACATATTGGCGCGTTTTGGAATTTGGCATATTTGTTATTAGCTATAATCGCACCAAATGCGGTTTACACACTTTGTTGAAATTAGTTAAAATAATGAACGATGACTTTTTGCCCGCTTATTTGCATTGATTAAAAGGAAAGGAAAATACGTTGCTGTAAATTAAGAAGCTCGCCAAGTGAATTATTCTTGGCCCAAACCGGGGGGGGGAAGTCAAGATAAATTTTTAAATTTCTCCATAAATTCGATATCAAATTTTCTAGACAAAATTTGAGTCCAATTTGAGTCGTAGAATCGAAATATGGAAAAAAATGGCCATGTCATTTCAGAAAAAAGTCCGATTTTGTGTCAAAATACATATATTAGAACACGTGCTATATATAAATCTAAAATATATCCTAAATAGCGCTTTCGATACATGAAAAACGCAGTTTGAATTTCGTTAATCGGCCCAGTAGAACGGGAGATGTAGAACTGTCCCCCCCTTTTTTTTTTGCAGTGTACGTAATCTTAGCCCTATAAAGCTTTATTTTAAAATTTTACACTTTACTTTTATTTTAAAGTTTGTGATAAAATGAAAATATTCTTTAGAAAAACCTTTTAAGTGACATTTTATCCCTTACGCGCTTTAAATGATGTTAAACAAAGAAATATTTCTTTGCTTGACATCATTATCAACCTAGAGCATTTCTTTAAGTTCTACCTACAGAAAAACTAACATTAATTTTAGCTTTAAAACTGCATAAGAAAAGTTTTATGCTTTAACAATTTAGCAAGCATAAAACGGGTGTTTGAACGAAAATCAAACGAATTTGTACTTACAGGATATACGTCAAAACACCAACGCCCCAAATATCGGCCGGTGTATGAACCTCCTCACCCTTAAGGATTTCGGGAGCTGTAGATGAAAAAATTCAAAATTATTTCAGAGCTTGTAAAACCTTCTTAAATATGCATATACAAATAAGTTATACTCATACACTCTTTGCAAATTACATACAGCACATAGAATTTAATTTTAAAGAGTGGCAACATTTCCTGCCATTGCATCTAATTTTGTATTTTAGTGAGCGAGTGAAATTCACGTTATTGGGTGAAAAGTTGTGAAATAAAGACAAAAAAAAAAAAAAAAAAAAAAATTAAAAAAAGGGAGGAACAGGGAGATAATTTATAATGGTGCCCTATAGTAAAGATGCGGGCACCTTTTCTTAGGTCGCTGTCCGTCCGAAAATATAAAAAAACCTCCACAAGAGGGCTGGGCATAAATGTGGCAACGACCTTGAAAAGGTCAGTTTCCATTTCGTAAAAATCAACTCTTATAAAGGTGCTAGCACTTTTATGATAGTTCCTTTTCATATCCCAGAGACATGGCAGTAAAGGCACCTTTAAGCTAAGGCACGGACATTTCATGACATTTTTCACGCTAAGGTATGACACTCCATGGTAGTAAGGGCACTTTAAAGCTAGGGTATTTTATAAGGTTTTTCCTTTATAGGAACAGTAGTCGATTTGTATAACGGTACAGCACCTTTAAGAAAGTTTTCTTTTTACACATAAGAAATTGACCTTTATGACAGTAGCGACACCTTTATGTTGAGGCACCTTTATGAAGTTTTCTATTCTTACGAATAGCGCTTGATTTGCCAAAAAGATGCCAACAAATTTGTGAAAATTCACACAGTTCAGAAACTGATCTTCGTAAGAGTGTACGAGCATTTTATGTTGAGGCATGTAATGAAGATTTCTGCTATTTCAAATAGTGATCAGTTTAACTCTTCGAACTCGAGAGGTGATTTTCGGTCACCACTTGAGTCGATTGACATTTGAATTGTAAAGAATCTCAAGTAGAAGAATAGATGTAATAAAAAACCTATTAGCCGGTTTCGGGGACATTTGACAAATTCTCGCCAAATGGGTGATATTCTGGAATATTCTAGAAAAACTCATTTTCGAAGCCTTCTTGCTAATATTTCTCGAAATTACAGAAAATGTTTACCCTCCCTTTTAGCAACCTCATAAATAAACAGAAGGATACCAGTGGTCGTCAGCTATTTAGTTCAGTTCAGAGTCGTGCGACTGTATTGTAATCACTACTCTCCTATCACCGCGATTTATTGAATGGAAAAAATAAATTTCCTTTTAGAATCAATCATTCCTCTTAGAAAGAAATATCATTTTAAAGACGAATGCCAATTTAAATGAATCATTTGTTTTTAAAGATGAACATAATTTGAATGCGCAGTTTTATATAAAATTATATTTTAAATTCCTCTGTAAATAGGAACCTGATAAAATTAACTTGATCACTTAAAGGAGAACTCGATGTTTCAAAAATTAATTTGCCAGATGAATATTGTTCTAAAGAAGAAGTAATTAGAACTGCTTGATTACACATTAACTAAATTTTCATTTTGAAAAATATTTTGTTATCTTTTTTTCTTGTTACTTATAAAGATGACAAACACAGTACTTGGAAATTTACGTTTTTGGGTTTTTCATGGAAAAAAGTCAAAGCATACCTAGACAGAAAAATGATTCATTCAGGCGTAGAGATTTTTATTTTGAAAGAATATCCAGTGAAACTACAATTAAAATATTATAATATTATCATTAAAATGACTCACCCAAGTATTCGAAGGAGCCTCTAACTTGGACTTTAGCGCCCTCTTCTGGCATATACTGAGCACTGCCGAAATCTACAAGTTTGACGTTCGGAAGATGTCTGTCTTCCATAACGACATTGTCTGGTTGCAATTCAAAATAGCAAATACCTCTGAAGTGCAAATATTCCAAACCGTCGATTACCTAGAAGTAGAAGTAGGTAATTACTTCACTTAAAATTATTTTCTTCTTAATTATGGAATTAGGAATTAAATTTCTATCACATTTAATCCTGCGTTAGATGAGTACGTTTGTGTTGAACAATTAGCTGCGTTGGTGACAGGTGCCATACTCCTACGAACCCTTTCAGAAGCGAAGTCGCCTGTGCTTTCAGGTCGCCCGAACGCCTGCTACCATTTTCTACCTAGTGATTTCTCCCATCACGTTAATGCAGGGCTCATTGGTTTCCGGAGATGTTAAATGACATTCCAACTATTCTTTTGAAGCGACTAACCTAGCTCTCTTTTATTTGAATGCATCTTCCCTTTCTTTTGTTTATCGTCAATGTTTAGCTAATGATTCTCGCAGTTTCAATTATACCCTGAGGAGAAACTGCACACAGTGGGTGAAACCGCACAGAGATCTCCAAGGCAGAAGTAATCGCTTCACTTAACTAGGTTGCTGTTAACATAGTAGTATTCTACTTGGCAAGATGGGAATAAAATCCTTTCAAAAGAAATTTGTATACACGGCATTTCAGATGTTAAAGGGGAACAGATTTTGGCCTCTATCGATGCGAAAGAGTTAAAATGTATCTAGAATAAGGAAATCATTTTTGTGCCACTGCCGCCATAACCAACACCAGCAATTAACATTTAGCTACTGAAAGACGCGATTCCGAAAACCAACACACAGTGTTGCAAACTTGCTACTAATATTACAGGGGACATCTGTCATTCACACATCTAAAACCGTCTAACCGGCAAGGCCGTATATATACGGCCTAGAATATTTTTTCTGATATCTGTAAGAACGTATATATACGTGCATATTAAAATATGTCAAAGAAGTTAAGGCAATATTATCAGGTTCAATGTTCCTTCTAACCTTCTTCGGGAACATACAAGGACCTGACTCGGAACAGAGAGCTTACTAAAGCTATGTTCACTAATTGTGGTAAGTAGACAGGATACAGACGAAGGGTATACAAAACCCTTTATTTTTCTCTATAACAATAACTTCCGTACTTGGATACAATGACCCGCCACTCGGGGTCTAACGTAAAAGTATAAAAATAAAACTAAACTCTAATTTAACTTTAGAATAATACACGTGGAAGATTGGCCTTATAATAACAGGAAGCGTATGTAGCACATAGACTGTGAACACTACAATACGTTTAATTTATCAAGAGGATTAAAACCTCTGGCCTGGAAGGCAAACAGCAACTGCGTAACATCTAAGGTAAGCGGCCTGCGTTGACTCACTGCTTCCTCTCTTTCGCTATCGCAAAAAGGCCACACTTACATACTTGGCGTTCGCCAGACAAACTTTGCATAAAAACCTTCACGCTTATAATTCTGGCCGGAAGTAGAAAATAAGAAGTGATAGTAAAGATTTAAAATAAAATAAACGTTAGTAAAACTTAAGATCCTTACAATATATTAAAAGTACACAAATCCAGAATACCAGTAGAATTTTTACATTAAAATCAAGAAAATAATTCTTTCTCACAATAGTTTTGGTAAGTTTGTGCTTTCTTAGCAAAAACCCTGGCCGGTCAGAGGATTAATCCGCTAAAGAAATTATTATGACCTAATATTTTGAGCGTTTTTAAGAAAATCTAGAAACGTCTATGACAAATTTATTTATAAAGAATATCGGGAGACTTAAAGTGGTATTACTGTATGAGCAGACATTTTGACATGTAATTTCCCATACTTTTCCTCGTTAATATTAATTTTAATTCATATTCTGAACCTCAAAAATGTTTTTCTGATATAGTTGGAATTACAGCTTAATTTATTATTTTAATTTTTTTAAAATTTTATTTAACTCACTTTCTTCTAGAAAAACTTCACATAATATAATACTTTTAAAGATTCAAGAAGAAAGAACATTGTTCCTCAATAATGATGATAAAGTTTCTGTGAAATTATAATTAGTCTAAGGATTTTTGTCTAATTGTAAGATTTAACTCACTTGGTGAATTATTCTGGAAACGAGATCTTCTGTGTAAAGTTGTTTTGAGGACAAATAGGTGAGGACATCAATTCCAGAGAGCTTTTCCATGACGAAAAAGATGTTATTCTTGCCGACACTGGCAGAGTGAAGATTGGCGATCTTCTCGTGTTGAAGCGATTTGTAGATGTCGAATTCCTGGTGAGCGGCATCTGATAAAGTCAGAGCTTTAGCTACAAATGCGGAATTCACCTTCTTGTGCCAAACCTTTATGACCAGTGAAAAGCGTCCTCTGTAAATATAAGAAGGTTAATTGCTGAATAGTGTTATAATCTGAATATAATATATACAATAGCGATATAATAATTACTGCATATAAGAGTATTATTCTTATTAAAATTTGGAATTTAACATAACCGACTACCACAAATTTCAAGACCATGGTTTGGCAGCTTACAGGAAATTTTTTACACCTTTTGAATAGCTTGCGTATATTCGGTACATTGCGCGTAATGTTCAACACATTTCGACGAAATTCTTATTACAACACTCAGAAATACAAATATTTATAACTACAAATCACAATAAAGAGTGTTTGGACTGTGAGCTATAACGGTTTGTTCAATTTGTTTGTACTTGTACGATCTTACAAGACAGATTACATCTATGCATTAAAAAAAACTTTTAAGAAAAGATAATTAAGCACTGAAGTGAATAATTTACGCATTAAGCGTCATAGTGCGAACAACGTAATCCTAGATCGCAGCCAGTATGAAATTAGAAATCCTAAATCGTCGAGACTTCGGCGATTCCGGATTTTAGATCATTATTTAACCTAATGATCCAAACACTTTAGAGTAGATAAGATACATTTAGTAAGATGAGATATAGACATAGAAGCATTCAAAAATGTCCGTAAATCCTCTGTACTACATGAATAAACTGATAATAATAATAAGCCATAATTCAAAATTGGGAAAGTATGTAGTTGGCACATTAGATGGAAGTCTTGCAGATACAAAGAGTTGGCGTACAATTTATTGTCTGTTAGAGTGTTTAACATATGGAGATGATTCAAAACATTCCTCGCATATTACACTGAAATTTTAGTATTACTAGTATTTAACGTGCTATTATTCGTTAAAGAACCGTAACGTATAAGCGTAATTCAGAACATTCTGAGATAACATTAAAAGAGCTTTCTCCTAGAACGATACAGGGACATTCTTAGAATGTTCTGTACAAAATTAGTAGTACACATTTTTGACATGTTACTGTCCATTGTTGAACTACAATTCATGGATGTGGTTTAGTTCAAGAATGTTCAGCTTAAAAGTGCAAAGAATATTCAACTAAAATGTTACAAGGACATCCATTGAACGCTGTAAGAACGTTATGCAAAAGTGTTAGTACTACCACTTTTGACATGCTGCTGTCCATCATTAAACTGTAATATACAGACGTGGTTTAGAAAGCTTCAGGAACGTTCAGCTAAAACGTGCAATGATTTCTGGTAGAAAGCTACAGGGACTTTCAAAGAGCATACTGACAGTGTTGTATCAAAGTGTTAGTAGTACCACATTTTGACGTGTTTCTGTCCATTACTGAACTAGTATAATATATAGACGTAGTTTAGAACATTCCAGAAACTTCAGCTGAAATCCGCCAAGAGGTTCTTCTAGAACGTTCATGGCACGTTGTAGAACATTCTTGATACATTGTATGGAAGTATTGAAAACGTAAGTATTTGATGTTCTATTGTTCGTTTTAGAATTGTAGTACATCAAAGTGTTTCAAAACGCTCTGCTAGTACGCTAAAGGAACGTTTGCTAGAACATTGTGACGTTTTGTCTTCTTTGCTAACATACGATGTACGAAACATTGTAGAGACTAGTAGTAAATTATTACTACATCTTTTAAGTATCATAGAGACAAAGTTAACAGATGGTTGAGTTAACAGAAGAGAGGTGAAAGGTCTTTGACTCAAAGTTAACAGATGGAACCACTCGTGCTCACAAAAGCCAATAATTATGGCTTAAATCAAATACAACAGATTAACTCAAACTAAGGAAAAGTAAGTGTAAGTTAGCCTCAATGCTGCACAATTAGAATATTCGCAAGCTGACTCTGACTTAAGATCGAGGTAAGAAACTTAATGGCGAGATTAACGCAACGATATACAATACTACTAACAAGAGAATCAATTTAGCAACGTGGCCTTAAACAGTTTCAACAATGCTACAGACACATGCACGGAATGGTTTGAGAACGTTAGACAAAAGTGTTAGTAGCGCCATTTTTGACGTACTACTGAAGTGTAATGTCCTGACCTGGTTTAGAAGATTTCAGAAGCGTTTAGCCAAAACGCTTGAAGAACGTTCTGCTAGAAAAGTTATGGTATGTTGTGGAAGGTTTTCGGCACGTTAAATGGAAGTTAATGCCATGTTAGTACAAACATGGGTATTTGGCGTTCTATCATCTGTTTTGGAACTGAAATATTAGGTCATATAAAAAGTCTCCGCGTTTTTTTATCACTAGATAGTGCTGATGCCTCCGGCAGCATCCTCCCTATTGTCACAAACGAACATGTGTTTAAAAGGTGACATACAGCTTCCATTGTTTGTGAAAATAGTTTTCTGATTCGTTGCTTGTGTAAAAAGGTATACTGATTTGAAAGTGAGTGAAATATCTGAAGAAATACGTTATATGATGCATTTTTTCCTATAAAAGAGGTAAAAGGTCTGCAAAAACATCCCGGAAAACTTGTGAAGTGTATGGTGAGAATGCTGTGAGTGAACTAAGGACCCAGGAATGGTTTGCTCGATTTCGTTCTGGAAATTTCGGTATCAAAGATGCACCTCGCTCTGGTAGGCCAGTCACTGAAAAGGTCGATGAAATTTTGCAACTGGTGGAGCAAGACCGGCACGTGAGCTATCATGAAATAGCAGAGGCATTAAACATCAACCACATGACAGTTTGGAATCATTTGAAAAGAGCAGGTTACAAAAAGAAGCTCCATGTTTGGGTACCACATAAATTGCAACCTGGCGAAACCATCAGTTCGGCTCTGTACTGTTCACAACACGACCGTTTGAATGAAGTAATACAGAAAGAGCGACCATAATTGGCCAAAAGAAAGGGTGTTTTGTTCCATCACGACAATGCGCGGCCATACACATCTTTGATGACTTAGAACAAATTGACGGAACTTGTTTGGGAAGTTTTGATGCATTCACCATATAGCCCGAACTTTTCACCGTCTGACTACCATTTTCTTCGTTCTCTGCAAAACTCTCTTGATTGTAAAAAATTGGCTGACTGAAGAGCCGCTGAAAATCACTCGCCCGAGTTTTTCGACAATAAACCATAGAAATTCTACACGATGAAATTATGAAGCTACCCGAAAAATGGCAAAATATCATAGATAATAATCGTTAATATGTACTTGATTAAGAGTGATTTTCAACAAAGAAAATTTTTGTTCAAAAATGTGCCAAAAAAGCGCGGAGACATTTTATATGACTCAATAGAAGGAATTTAAAACTTTCTTTTTGAACATGGCCGACATGTTCGTGATATACTAGGATTGAAATATTCTTCTTTTAGTTAAATATACGTAAATAATTATAGCAAAACACTAAATGGTTACCGGCTTTGGTAGAAATGCCTTTTTAAGAGACACTTGATAAGAACTCTGTCAAGCATGGGAAAACTGTGAAACTGATAACGCAGACACATTTTATTACCGATGAAAATTAAGAAGCAACTATCAATATCAAGTTGATCTCACCTATTCGGCGGTTCGTTGATCACATATTCGTTGATCTCACCTATTCCCCATTTTAAGGTACACTGCTCAAAAAAAAAAAAAAAAAAAAAAAAGGGGGGGGGACAGTGCTATATCTTCCGTTCTACTGGGCCGATTCACGAAATTCAAATCGCGTTCCTTATGTCTCGAAAGCGCGACTTAGGATATATATTAGATTTATATATAACACTATCTAACATAGGTATTTTGACAAAAAATCGAACTTGTTTGAAATAACATATAACTTTTTTTTTTACATATTTCGATTCTACGACTCAAATTATGTGTAAATATTAAATTTTATAAAATTTGGTGCGAAATTTACGGAGAAATTCCACAATTTATGTTGGCGCTTTTTATTCAGCTATCTCCAAAATTAGTTCACTTGGCAAACTTCTTAATATGTGGCAACCTATTTTCATTTCCATTTTTACATAGTGCGTAAGAGGAAAAAAAGACCCAACCGTTCCTTCTTTCAAATAATGTTCTTTATATTATATTTTTAAATATAATTGTTATTAATTTTAAGCAATTTTTTTCCTTTTTCGAATTTTATTTTAATTAAGTTGCATGGTTTCGTTCGAATAATGTTTTAAAAATTTCTATTTACTCATTCGAAACTGCATAGTTTAAACCAAAGATGCATCGTTTTTTTTTTTTTTTTTTTTTTTAAATAGTTTTCTGTATACTATATTTTTAGTCATAGTACTATTTAGATAATTTTTAGACTTTTATTTTAATTGTTAGTGTTCATTGTCCTCTTCAGATAATTATTTTAAAACTTTCTTATTTATTCATTCGAACTGAGCATTTTAATTTATTTATTTATTATATAAATTTTCCAGAATTTGATTTTATTATTTGAATTGCGTTTCTTTCGGAAAAATACTCTGTAACCCAAACTACGATGAGTTTAAAAACTGCATATATTAAAAGAGAAAATACAGTAAAGCACAGTTAACATGTCTTTCAATGTTCCGTTCAGAACAGATATATAGAAATAAGAGAGATGTATAACCTACATTTTAACTTAGGATGACTTGCATTCACTGCTTTAAACAGTTTTATCATTGTGCCCATTGCTTTATACAATTTTATCCTACATTTGGTTTCTTAAAATGTTATTTATATTTTAGTCAAATATTTTATTTTTGAAATCGCAATAATCAAATATCATAAGATTAAAAAGTTTTAAATTAAAAAAAAAAATACAAATACTAAATTTTACGCAAAAATTTATTTTTTCTTCTCTTTTTCTTCAGGCATTCTGCTTCATTCTTGCTCTTTTTCTTTAGGCATTCTGCAAGTATATTAAAAAGCAGTCAACTTTTCGAAACATCTTGGTATTTCTGACAATCATTTTAAATAAAGTTATCGCCTTCCATTTCATAAAGGCCCACAAACGGCTTAGCGGCAAAGTAGCTGAACACTGGTAGTTCACTCCGGGGTTCGAATCCCGGTAAACGGGCTGGTTGCAATGAGCG